GGGCCAGTGGCTTGGGATGTCCTGGCAAACAGGGGATCCAGGCCTAGACAAGGTAGAGTTATGGGGATGCAGGACCAGAGTCCCCCACTCTCCTCCATTCACATCCCATGATATCCTAGGCCTCCACATGGTCACCACAGCATCCAGAGCAATGAGGAAAAGGCACTAGGAAGGGTGGACACGGGTTTCAAGCCCCCAAGCAGAGAACTTGTCTGGCATTGGAGTTATGAGCACAGATTTGGGAGTCAGGCAAAGGCCGGTGATAGTCCTGACACTACACATCAGGAAGTGATTTCACCATTCTCAGCCTCTATTTCTCCACAGGAGAAATGGGAGGGTGAGAGCCCACTCCCTTGGGCTGTGTGAGAGTTAAAAGAGATAATTGTGTGAATGGTTAGCCCAGAGTGGCCTCTGCAGTAAGTGGTCAATAAGAGCTGTCACTGTTGCTCTTAGCAGTCCTGGAGGCAGGAGCTCAGTAGCTCCATATCAGAGAGCTGAGGCTCTGAGAGGAGAGCAGTGACCTGCACAAAGGAGGCTGTCAGAACCAGGACAGATATTCACACTGCTGGGATCACAGAGCAAAAGTTACTGCCCAACAGTGTCTGTAAGAGCATCGCTCTTGGGATGAGCCTGTGATGGAGGCTTCGCACAGCCAGGGTAGGTTGGTGCTCTCTTTTGCCCTCTATTGTTGGAGACAGAGGATCTGCTTAACATGAGAGAATTGGGCCCAGAGCCCTGGCCTGGCATCCCATGGCATCCCAGGCCTCCACGTGGTCCCATCTGAGCTCACACAGCACTTACAGGCAGGGCCAGGACTGTGACCTAGAACAGTCTATGACTGATGCAGTGATGTTCTCCTCCACCTACTTTGTGAAAGTCCTCATCTGCTTTCTGTGCCCACCTCACCAGCCTGCACCTAAGCCCTGGCAGTGGTGGTTGCAAGGTCAAGATCCACTTCCCTGTTTTTACCTTGACTTCACCCACATGCTGTAGACATAGAACAAGCAACTCCAACTTTCTGGCCCTCAGTTTGCTCACTTGAGCCTTTATATAAGTAGGTTTACACTCTTCATGCCATCTCTCCCTCCATAGTACAGAATTTGCATGTCTTCAGGCTCCACACACAAAATACCCACTTGCACAAAAGTCCAAGTGCATGATGGAAACTCTGCTGAAGATGTTGCAGAAGGCGGTTAAATCTCTCCCATTTCTCTCCTAAAGGATCCCTTCTTATGCCCTACCAGTACTTTTCTCTCTCAGGCCCTTTCCCTATGCAGCCCAGGCTCACTGGCTCTTCCCTTCTCTGTGACAATTCTGCTCTACCCTCAACTTACATGGCCCAAGTATCAGGGCCAGCTAAGCAGTGCCTGGAAGTCAAGAGGACCCTTAGAATGTCCTATTATGACTATTTATTGTTACTGAAATGGGGAGTGCAACACCTAAGTGGCAAAGTTCCCTACTGGGGCCAGTAGATGGCATCATGGTCATATTGCTGGACTCCCACATAGCCGACTATATATAGCTCGAGTCCCAGACCCAGTGGCTTGAAAATCACGCCAGGTATATGTGCTTGTGCGCCCAAGATTCCAGGAGGAGAACAGAGGAGAAGAGACTGTGGCATAGCCATCCTTCCTGGGGGGTAATTTCTCACTTTCCCTCTCAATGTCTCAGTCTCTCTCTCTCTCTCTCTCTCTCTCTGGTGAGCACACATACTCTAAGGCAAAAACATCTTTTAAAAAATTGTATCTTGGGGGACCAGCAGATGGCAGAATGATTACGTCTCTGGACTCCCACATGGTCAACCATGGTTCAAGTCCTGGACCCAGTGAAATAAACTCATGCTAGGCATGTGTGCATACATGCCCAAGATCCCAAGAGGAGAGTGGAGGAGAAGAGTTTGATCTGTGGCAATCCCCCTAGGGGTGTGATTTCTCAGTTTCTCTCTCTGTCTTTCTCTGTCTTTCCAGTGAGCATACACGCCCTATAGCAAAAAATCCTCCAAAAAAAATTATCTCTAGCTTCACATAGTTTTAAAAATAAGATTATTAACACTTATGTCATGTAATTGTTGAGAGTTCAAAATGTCTGAACCAGAAACAAAATGAGAAAATGGATATTCGTGTCTTTCCTGTCATTCCCCTCAGAAATTAATCCTTCTACTACCAAGTTCCTCCTAGAAACCCAGACTGCAAATCTTCAAGACCAATGACACCCACTGTCCCCACATCCACAGCGGTGCTAGGGGCCTGGGAATCCCTATCTCAGCCCAGCCCAGAACCTAGAAAGCAGGAAACTCCTGGGCCTGGATGGCCTCTGGCTGAAACATCTGGAAAGTCCTGCACAGGTGAGTCATGCTGAGCTCTAGGTAAGGCATGCGTGAGGTAAAGACACTGACAGAGTCTCCAAGGGTCCAGGTTGGCAAGCTGAGCCCAGAGGTTCTAGAAAACATCTGAAATATTTCTCCAGAAATCCCATCATTTCTCCCTCTTCATTGATCAAGGCACTAGAAGGAGCTCTCTGGAAATTAAAATGCAGCTGCATTATCCAGTACAGAAAACACATGGCCCATTCGGGTCATCTCTCGCAAGTAAGTGCATGTACTCTCTGGCAAACCAAAAAAGAAAAAGAAAGTAACAACCATCCTAACTGAAGGTTATACAAAACCAGGTGGCTAGCTGGAGCTGGCAAAATCAAGCTGGCCACCTGTCTTTTTGGACTTTCTAAAGTTTGTCAACCTCTGGTCAGCAGTGTAACATTAAAATAAAACTCATTAGAGGCATCAGAGATAGCGGGAGGATTTTTTAAGTAAACTTGATTCAAGAAGATTTAGATATATGGGACATTAGCAAATCCATGAACTCCAGGTGGTTTAAGAGAATGTGGCAGCAAGAGCTGAGCCCTCTCCTGGACCTTGGCCATGAACCCAGTGACCATCCTGATACTCTTAGAAAATTTTCACATTGCCATATTTTCACATTTCATACTTACTCCCTCCCCCTTTTTTTGGATTATATTGAAGCTTAGTAAGATTACTGCACTTGCTTATTTCTATAAAATACCTCAAAAATACCCCTTTTACTTTCCTTCCTTCTATTTCAAAATGGAAAATACATGATCTATTAAATTGGTTGATATGAGTCCGAGCCACATTTTAGGACAATAAATTCTACAATTTTCCTCTTAGTCGGGTGCAGAAGAAATTTTTTTTAAGTTTTTGCCATAGGGCACATTCACTTGGCAAAGAGAGAGAAACAATGAGAGAGAAAGTGAGAAATCATGCCCTGGGGGGATGGCCACAGTCTCTCCTCCTGCTTTCTCCTCCTGGATTATAGGCATGCATGCATATGCACCCAGTGTGATTTTCAAGCCACTAAGTCTGGGAATGAACCACAGTTAGCCATGTGGGAGCCCAGCACCTTAACCACCTTAACCACCACACCACTTGCTGGCCCTAAAGAATTTTTTTTTAACCTGACTTCTGCCAGATTTCAAAGAGGCAACTCCTAACATTGAAGGGCAGTACAGTTCTGTGGTTAGATCACTACATCAGGATCCCACTTGGGGTGTGTGTGTTTGTGTGTGTGTGTGTATGTGCGTGGCATTAGGGGGACTATCCACAATGCCAACATGGCAGATGGACAACGTAAGGGTTGAATGTGTGGTTTGTGGCACTAGAGACAGAAGACTGGATTCTGTCCCTGCCACTAACTGTGATACTATCTTTCTGAGCACCAGTTTTCTCACTCCAGTCCCACCCCACGGTCACCACATTTCCATCAGCACACCTGTAAATATAGGACAGGAACATGGAATTCTGGAGGCCCAGCAGGATTACCAGGAACAACTGGGCTTCAGCATCTCAAATGAGTCCTTTGCATCCTCTCTAAAAGTCACCTAAGGAGAGAAGTGAGAGGCACTTGAAATATTGTGAAAGGAAAGAAGGACAGAGGTTTTAAGGACTGGAATGTGACTTAGGAGCCTGAAGTTTTCCTGGGGACAATCCCTTTCACGAGCCCTGCTCCTCACAGTTCACAGAGCATCTTGCCACCTGTCTCAGCTTAGGTTCCCTTCAAAGCAGGTCCTGAGATAGGATTTTCAAGTGGGTAGTTTTTAAGGGAGGTGGTTCACTGGAAACACCAGCAGGAGAGACAAGAAGTGAGATGGGGTGGAGGAAGCCCAGGAAAGGAGCAATTTGGGGCAGGATATCCATGTGAGAAAATGAGGTGCAATGAGACTGGGAAAGTCTGGGAAACACAGTTGTTTCTTCTCCTTCCCCATCTGTGTCCCATCGAGGGCACCTCCTAGAGTATGAACTTCATAACCTTCCAACTTGCCCCACATATACATCGAAAGACAGCCCTCAGGACAGACGATCACAGGTGCTCACAGAAGTACACTTTTCGCATGTATAATATAGTGGGTGTTGAAGGGATGCTCCCAGGACTGAACAGCATCTGTCACACTATTACTCCTCCAGGAGCTCCTACAAAGAGGTACCACAATCCCCAACTGAAAGATGAGAAAACTGAGGCTCACTGGGTCTAATGGTCCAAGTCATAAGCTTGATGAGGGCCAAGAGTTGTCTGGTTACTTTTCTTTGTTTGTTTGGGTTTTGATTTTTGTTATATGGAACGTGCACTCACCAGAGCGACAGTGGGAGGGAAAGTGAAAAATCACCACCTAGGGGTATGGCCATGCCACAATCCCTTCTCCATTCTCCTCCTGAAATTTCAGGAATTCACAAACACATGCTCAATGTAATTTTCAAGCAACCAGGTCAGGGACTTGAACCGTAGTGAGCCATGTGGGAATCCAGCACTTTAACCACTATGCCAACTGCTGGCCCCAAGAGTTGTCTTTCTCGCCATTTTATCCTACTATTTATCCCCAGCTCCTAGAGCAATGCTGGGACATGACAAATACTTTAATGAAGGAACATCACACAGGGAGTATGACTTGGATGAGTTGGGGCTTGAACAGAGATCTTCTATCCCAAACCCATGTTCCTTCCACTGTACAGGTGAGAACATACCAGTATCTATAGCCAGTGCAGTGAGTGGTTTGAAGAAGGTATCTGAAACAGGTGTTGAATGAATGACAAATAGATGGACAAATGAACACATCTAATCTGTACCTTTATGTTCCATGTTTCTCGCCCTTACTCAGAAGTCACAGAAAGATACCAGGATCAGAAAGAAGTCCTGCTCCACACCACCCTGGAAAAATAAATTTTTGCACAAAAAATTCACACAGATGCTACTTCTACACAGGCCTCACCCTAGGTACCACAAGCCCCTGGTCAGGGGAAGCTGGCATCACAGTACGGCAAAGGAGCGAGGACATTTGATTGAGATCACAGACTTATTTGGTCCAGGCCTGAGTACCCAGAAAGGACCACATATAGTCATACTACAGGGGGCTCCTGGGATTGGGAAGTCAACTCTGGCCAGTCAAGTGAGGGGAGCCTGGGAGGAAGGCCAGCTGTATAGGGACCGCTTCCAGCACATCTTCTACTTCAGCTGCAGAGAGTTGGCCCAATCCAAGATGATGAGCCTCCCTGAGCTCCTAACAAAAGACACAGGTGCCCTTCGAGCTCCCATTGAACAGATCCTGTCTCAGCCAGGTCAACTGCTCTTCATCTTTGATGATTTGGATGAGCCAAAATGGGTCTTGGAAGAGCAGAGTCCTGAGTTCTGTCTTCCCTGGAGCCAACCACAGCCAGTTCAGGCACTGCTGAGAAGTCTGCTAAGGAGAACCATCCTTCCCGAGGTTTCCTTGCTAATCACAGTCCGGACCACAGTTCTACAGAAACATTTTTTCTTTGAAGCAGCCACGTTGGGTGGAGGTCCTAGGATTTTCTGAGTCAAGCAGGAAGGATTATTTCTACAAGTATTTCACAGATGAGAGCCAAGCCATCAGAGCCTTGAGCTTGGTTGAATCAAACCCAGCACTCTTGACCCTGTGTCTCACGCCCTTGGTGTCCTGGATGGTTTGCACTTGCCTGAAGGAGCAGATGGAGCGGGGGGAAGAGCCCACAGTGACCTCCCAGACCACCACAGCTCTCTTTCTGCACTACATTTCCCAGGCTCTGTCAGCTCAATCCCTGGGAACCCAACTGCGGGGCATCTGCTCTCTGGCTACTGAGGGAATCCTCCAAGGAAAGACCCTTTTCACCTCAGGAGACCTCAGGAAGCATGAGTTAGATGAGGCCATTGTCTTCACTTTCTTGAAGATGGGAGTTCTTCAAACTCACCCTGACTCTCTGAGCTACAGCTTCACTCGCCTGTTCCAGGAGTTCTTTGCAGCAATGTCCTGTGCCTTGGGGGATAAAGAGGAGAGAAGCGAACATACTAACAGCATTGGTATAGAGAAGTTGCTAGAATTATGCAGAAGGCATGATCTGTTTGGAGCACCAACCATGTGCTTCCTATTCGGCCTTTTAAGTGAACAGGGCCTGAGAGAGATGGAGAACATCTTCCACTGCCAGCTGTCTCAGGAGATGAAGTGGGAGCTGCTACAAGCCCAGAAGGAGGCCTGGCCCCAGAAGTCCTTCCTGCAGCCATACTCTCTGGAGCTGCTCCACTGTTTGTACGAGACTCAAGATGATGTCTTCCTGACAAAGGCCATGGAACATTTCTTAGGGACAAAGATATGTGTTCGAACAAACGTGGAGCTCTTGGTTGTTACTTTCTGCCTTAAATTCTGCCAGCATGTGAAGAGACTTCAACTGAATGAGGGCAGACAGCACAGAGAAGAAGGGAGACCCTCCACTATAATTCTGTGAGTACCCTGACCTGCTCCCTCTCTGACTCCTCTCTCAGTCCCATAAGCCCAAATTTCCTGAGCACCAGATGCACTCTCACTAGGCCGGATAAGAGATCAAAGAGGCTGGCTTTTTTGGTAAGTTTAGTTTTTATTTCTTCCAAGATATAGAAAGACAATACCCCCAACAGATTTTGGCTCTATGATCCACCCCCAGCCTCAGCCAGCCCAGATCATGGGCATATGTGTACACAACGTACTCGAGGGAGCCCTTGCAAAGCATTGTGATTTACCAGTGCACCACTGTCTGGCCTCCACTAGTGACTTCTAACTGCCCAACCTGACTGCCCTTCTCCTTTCACCTAAGAGCCTCCACACAATCCAACTGTGTGACAGGGCCCTGCTTGCTACTGGAGAGGCCTGCTGTGGCCCTGCATTGTACTACCTCTCTTCATACCTCTGTGATTAGGCCCTAATGTCTTTCCCCCATCACTTCAGAATGCATGTATCTTTATTTTTTTATTTTTTTTATTTTTGGAGAGGTTTTTGCTATAGGGCATGAGCACTCGCCAGACAGAGAAAGCATGTATCTTCCAGGGAGTCTCCTATTTTTCCTTGCAACTGACTTCATTGTTGTGTCAAGGATGCCACTGTTTCCCTAGGCATTCAACCTGAACTGCACCCTCTGAGAATGGCAGACCAGCTTTCTCCAATAATCCTCCAAACCCAATGACACTGGGAACCTCCTCAGCCAGGTTCCTTTGTCTCTATGAAAGTATTAATCATACAGTATTGGTATATTTCTATCTCTCCCTTTAGATGCCTCATTTCAGAAACACCTATTAAGCACTCATTTTATGCTAGGTCCTACAGATCACAGATTAAAAGGCACATCCCCAGGCCAACCCTATAGCCTAATGGTTAGGGGAACTGGGTCCCACATGACCAACCACAGATCAACTCTTGGCTCTGATGACTTGAAAATATTTTGGAAACACGTGACAAGTGCCCAAAATCTCAACAAAACAGAGAAATAAAGAAGATGGTGGTATGAAACCATGCCCTACTGTGGGTATTTTCTCTCTCTCCATTCCTCTCCCTCTCTCTCTGCCTCTCTCTCCCTCTCTCTCTTTCTCTCTCTCTCTGTTTTTCTCTAGCTATCCAAATACCCTTTGGTGATTTAAAAACAATTAGAAAACACAGGTCCTTCCCTAAGTTTAAAAAATCAGAGAGAATGGGGCTAGGTGGTAGTACAATGGTAAACCATGATGCTCTATGGGGCTGCTCCATGTGAGAAGAACCAGGGTTCACATCCAGAGACCTCTCTGAGAATGAAGCTGGCTGAAGTTGAGGGTGGTCAAAGCAGAAGCACCCTCTTGGGGATAAATGTCAATCTTTCTTTTTCTGCCTGTCTCACTCATGAAATATGTAAATAAGTAAACTTTTTTTAAATGAGAGAGAAGATAGATAATTACAATAGACTGTGATACCTACATAAATAGAGGTCAGGCCAAGATATTATAGTGGCCTAAGGAAGGAAGTGATCATGCAAGTGGACCAGAAAAGGAAAATTTCTCAGAGGAAGAAGTGTTCAAGGTGGATGTTTAATTTGCAGATTTTTAAAGGTTTTTCTCACACTAAAACCCAAGTTTATTGTAGAAAAATAAAGAAAAACAAAAATTAATGTCAACCAAAATTCCATCACTCAAAGATGACATCAAGTATTTAATTTTTTTTATATGTTCAATCACTGTATATCATTATAACTTGCAAAATGAATTTTTCCAGCATGAATACACTATATATTAGTTCAGTTAAAGATATTATCATACATGTTATCATTAACAGATAATTTTCCATTTTTGTATCCCTTAGCTGTTTTGCTTCTTTCTTTTTCCCCTTGATTCCTTTCTTCTCACCCTCCCACCCTTCTCCCATACTGTCACTAGTATCCACAATTGTTTTCCATGCCTTTTTTTATATCGTCTAATCTTTCAGCTTCTGCCATGGAATGTAGATATTCAGTATATATTAAATAGGGACATATAATGTCTCTCTTTCATAGTGTAACTTGTTTCACTTAGCAATAATCTTTTATATTCGTCCACTTTCTATCAAATGCCAGGGCCTCATTATTTTTTTTATCACTGAGTAGTATTTCATAGCGTGTATGTGCAACACTTTTTCAATCCATTCATCTGTTCATGTACATTTGGGTTGGGTCTGCATCTTAGCAATTCCGTATAAGGCCACAGTAAACATGGATGTGCAAGTATTTTTCCAACTGTGTATTCCTGTCCTTTGGGTAGATACACAGGAGTGGAACTGCTGCATCATATGGTAGTTCTATTTGTAAATCTTTGAGGAATCTCCATATTGTTCTCCACAATGGCTTTACTAATTTACATTCCCACCAACAGTGTAGGAGAGTTCCCTTTTCATCACAGCCTCCCCAGAACTTAACATTTTTTTTTTTAATCTTAGCTGTTCTGACTGGGGTTCCATGGTATCTCATTGTGGTTTTGATTTGCATTTCCTTTATGATAAGGAATGTTGAGCATTTCTTCATATGCTTTTTGGGTATTTGTATGTCTTCCTTAGAGAGTTGTCTATTCAGCACATTTGCCCATCTTTTAATTGGGTTGATCTTTCATTTTTCAGGTAGCCTGCTTGAATTCCCTGTATATTCTGGTTATCACTCCCTTATCCTTTGCAAACATATTCTCTGATTCTGAGCGTTGTCAATTCACTCTAATTATTGTTTCTTTTCCTGAGTAAAAGCTTTTTAACCTGGTGTAATCCCACTTGTCTATTTTGGGGATCGTTGCCTGTGCTTTAGGGGTCTTATTTAAGAATTAAGAAGTCTTTGCCGGTTCAGATGTCTCCGAGACTTTCCCCTGCATTATCCGCTAGGAGATTTATAGTTTGAGGCCTTTGGTTTAGATCTATGACCCATTTTGAGTTAATTTCTGTTAATGGTGGGAGACAGAAGTCCACTTTCATCTTTCTCCAGATGGATACCCAGTTTTTCCAGGACTATTTGCTACACAGGTTTTCTTTCCCCACTGAATTGACTGGTGCCCTTCATCAAAAATCAACTGGCTGTATGTTTTGGAGTTTATTTCTGGGGTCTCTATTCTGTTCCATTGGCCCACATGCCTGTTTTTGTGCCAGTATCATTAAGTATTGAGGTATATTCTTCTAGTCTTTTTTCTATGCACATTTATATGGGAAAATTGAAACACATTGAACATTTTATTTTAGTTAGTTTTGTTTTATTAATATATTAAGGCTTTTTTTTTTCATGTTATTAAGTAGTCTGATGCCACACCATTTTGAATGACCACATGATATTCCATAGGGAATGTGCCATGACTGATTTGATCATTCATTTATTCCTGGCTATGTTAGACTGTTTCTATTAATAATTGTTTATGTCTGTAAATGTGAAGTAGGTCTTGAAGAACCTGGTGTAGATACAGCAGGTGGCAGAGGCCTGACACGGGGCCTTCAGAAGAGTTCTGAGCAGGCACAGAGACAGAGGCAAGATGTGGGGGGAGGCAGGGAATCAAGGAAATCAGGCAATAGAAAGAGACTTTGAAATAGATGGTTAAAAAAAGAAAAATGGGGACCAGTAGTTAGCATAATGGCTATGTCACTAGTCTCCCATGTAGTCCACTGTGGTTCAAGTCCCAGACATGGTGGCTTAAACTCACACCGGGTGGATGCGTGCGTGTGCATGCCCAAGATCCCGAGAATGGAGGAGAAGGGATTACGGCATGGCCATCCCCCCTGGGGCGTGATTTCTTGCTTTCTGTCTCTTTGTTTTTCGGGGGAGGCCCCCCACCCTATAGCTAAAACCTCTCCAAAAAAAAAAAAAGAAAGAAAGAAAAATGGAGCCTGGAGAGAATTCCATGCAAAAGGCGAAGGCCTCAGCTGCTAGTGGGAAAGAAAAATTTTAAAGCACTGAGTCAGCCACACAAGGCCGAGAGAACAGTAAGGAGATCACTGTAAACAAGTTTTAAAAAGTCCAGGAAGACATGAAGACTGGCCAATGTCTATAGGAAGGAAAAGGAGAACCAACCAGAGATATTAAAAAAATGAAGATGGCAGTTTGGGCAGTTCTGCATATTTGGCTTGTAATTAAATATTGTATATTTTGAATAAAAAGTTTTCAATTTTTCTTTCAGTCCTTCCAAACAAGATGGCAAATATTGACTGAAATAAAAGTGAAAATTTATTATTCAAATTTCACAAACTAAATCAATGTAAAGAGAATTCAAATAACTGTGCTTTCAAATGACAGCATTTTGGGGCCAGCCCATAGCCTAGTGGTTAAGAAACCAGATCCTACATGACCGATGATGGCGTGAATCCCAGTGCAGTAACTTGTAAAACATGCTGGCACATGTGTGTGCGTGCCCAAAATCCTGACAGGATGAAGAAATAGGTAAAAACTTCCAATTTTTGTAGACTGTTTCTTTGACAGAACTGCTTTGACAAATTCAGTAAATATTTTTGTTTCACAATTTGTTTATAGTAAGTCTTCCAGGTTTCTTTTTTTTTCCATTTCATTTTCTTCCATACATTCAATCACATTATTATTTGTCTTATAAAATGGATATTTCAACAGGTGAACATTTCTCCCTAGTACTGTTGATAAAACTATGAAATATCTTCAACAGATAATACCACACCTCTTTGTGCCATTATGCTTTGCCTCTCTGTCCCTCCCCCAAATGTCCTTCTTCAGACCCTCCTCTTTCACACACACTATATCTGGTATTTACATCTATATACAGTGTTTCTATATCCTTTAGACAATTAATTTCAGTCATAGAGGGCAGCCACTCAGTATATATTAAGTGGGGACATACAATGCCTCTCCTTGATGTTTATTGTGGCACTTTTCACGATTGCTAAGTCATGGAAACAACCCAAATGCCCACAAACTGATGAATGGTTAGAAAAACTGTGGCACATATACTCAACGGAATACTATTCATTCATAAAAAAAAAAGAAAAAAACCTGGTTTTTGACAGGAAGTGGATGAATATGGGAGACTTACTGCTGAGTGAAGTCCTCTAGGTTTCAATACATCTTGACTTAAAGCAGTTTTCTCAGAGACATCTATAAGAAAAACATGCAGCCAAAGGTTCATATGCTACCCTGAATTTGCTTTTAAACATTACAAAAGTAACTCTATCTCCTGTCTTCAAAGTTTGATAAAGGCCATTCTGTACTTTTTCCTCATTAACAAAAGTAACATACTTAGAATTATCTTTTTTTGGTCAATAGAGGGCTTCATATGTTTGATTCAGGTTGGTTACAGGAAAGTTAGCAGTTAACACAGCATGATTTTGACTGATCAAGTCATTATCTTCTATTAGAATGACACAGTTTTTCCTTCCAACAATGTACTCAACACCAGTCAATAGTCTGTATGGTGCTCCTCGGGCCTAGCCCACAGTGGGGAGCAGCTTCCACATCCACTTGTAGTATTTATGCTTCTGAAATTGTTAAAGCTTAAAACTGTACTAGGACTTTGGAGAGTTCTTTTAACCCTCAGCAAAACACTCTGCAGCAGATATTACTGTCCTCTTTCTGTAGCTAGAAAGACTGAGAGAGTCACAGGGAAGTGGAACTCACGTGGAGGTAGATGGTTCCAGAGCCTCTGCTTCTCACTTCCACACAGCTCTGCAGACTTGAGGGGATAGACGAATTAAGGTTGGGGATATACTGGGACCTATTAGGTCAAATAGTTACTGGGGTGAGAAGGTGGAGATTCTGGCAAGAAAGTAAGAATCTCAGTCTTAAACTTGGAAAATATATTGAGTTGTTGAAGCTCCAGAAGTAGACAGGATCACTAATGTAGTGCGTGTGAAACAAGGATACTGAATGGGTGGAAACTGTACAAGGAAGGGTCTACTCTAACACTCTCAGATGAAGGCTATAATCCTCTCCCCTTCAGGCTGCTAATGTTCTCTCCTAGGACATTCTCCCTTTGCCATCTTGCTTCTGTAGATCCTCTTCTAGGTATGGCTATTCTTGGAAGGGAATAGGATCTCATGCATGCCCATCTGGATAGCAGTGTATGTGATCATACACAACATTACCATCACAAAGTCATCCTCAAAATCATCCAAGGCTCTGTTCCAACCTCCCATCTCCTCTTTTCCTTTCTGGGTTCTGGAGCTTCAAAATGATTGCACCAAAGAAAGACAGGTATGTCTGCATCAAGGGAAGAAAAACTGCCCAAATTACCAACCTCCTCCTCTATGTCATCCCTATGCTGGGCACTGCAGATTAAAAAGATGATAACTACCTGTTCTTGCCCTTAAAGAACTCCCTGACTGAGGCAGAAACAGAAACAAAATGAACACATCAGGATTCAGTGGCAATGGCACAGGCATAGGGCCCCACTGAGCAATATTGGAACCACATGGAAAGAAGACCTAGGTTTGGTTCCCTAGTCATATGGTTGTAAGTTCTTAATCCTTGTTTTCGGCTTCAGCTTGCTGGCCCGGAGGCCACACGACCGCAGGGGGACCGCGCTGACCAGTCGCAGCCTTGGCGCGGGGCCTAGGTTTCAATACATCTTGACTTAAAGCAGTTTTCTCAGAGACATCTATAAGAAAAACATGCAGCCAAAGGCTCATATGCTACCCTGAATTTGCTTTTAAACATTACAAAAATAACTCTATCTCCTGTCTTCAAAGTTTGAGAAAGGTCATTCTGTACTTTTTCCTCATTAACAAAAGTAACATACTTAGAATTTTCTTTTTTTGGTCAATAGAGGGCTTCACATGTTTGATTCAGGTTGGTTACAGGAAAGTTAGCAGTTAACACAGTATGATTTTGACTGATTGAGTCATTATCTTCGATTAGAAGATAATGTACTCAACACCAGTCAATAGTCTGTATGGTGCTCCTCGGGCCTAGCCCACAGTGGGGAGCAGCTTCCACATCCACTTGTAGTATTTATGCTTCTGAAATTGTTAAAGCTTAAAACTGTACTAGGACTTTGGAGAGTTCTTTTAACCCTCAGCAAAACACTCTGCAGCAGATATTACTGTCCTCTTTCTGTAGCTAGAAAGACTGAGAGAGTCACAGGGAAGTGGAACTCACGTGGAGGTAGATGGTTCCAGAGCCTCTGCTTCTCACTTCCACACAGCTCTGCAGACTTGAGGGGATAGATGAATTAAGGTTGGGGATATACTGGGACCTATTAGGTCAAATAGTTACTGGGGTGAGAAGGTGGAGATTCTGGCAAGAAAGTAAGAATCTCAGTCTTAAACTTGGAAAATATATTGAGTTGTTGAAGCTCCAGAAGTAGACAGGATCACTAATGTAGTGCGTGTGAAACAAGGATACTGAATGGGTGGAAACTGTACAAGGAAGGGTCTACTCTAACACTCTCAGATGAAGGCTATAATCCTCTCCCCTTCAGGCTGCTAATGTTCTCTCCTAGGACATTCTCCCTTTGCCATCTTGCTTCTGTAGATCCTCTTCATGGTATGGCTATTCTTGGAAGGGAATAGGATCTCATGCATGCCCATCTGGATAGCAGTGTATGTGATCATACACAACATTACCATCACAAAGTCATCCTCAAAATCATCCAAGGCTCTGTTCCAACCTCCCATCTCCTCTTTTCCTTTCTGGGTTCTGGAGCTTCAAAATGATTGCACCAAAGAAAGACAGGTATGTCTGCATCAAGGGAAGAAAGACTGCCCAAATTACCAACCTCCTCCTCTATGTCATCCCTATGCTGGGCACTGCAGATTAAAAAGATAACTACCTGTTCTTGCCCTTAAAGAACTCCCTGACTGAGGCAGAAACAGAAACAAAATGAACACATCAGGATTCAGTGGCAATGGCACAGGCATAGGGCCCCACTGAGCAATATTGGAACCACATGGAAAGAAGACCTAGGTTTGGTTCCCTAGTCAACCTGAACTCAGTGGGCATCCCTATGATCTTGGTTGAATGGGAGGTTGGGGGAAGGATCACAGAAGCATGCCAAGGCCTTGTGAAAGCATACCTCTGTAAATAAATAAACAAGTAAGCAAAGTTTTATTTTGTTTGTTTATTTTAATGAAGACACAAGTACACTATGGTCAGGTCTGTAGAATAAGGAGCCACTCAGGGGTGGGGGGCATACCTGTGAGGGCAGAAGGGCAAACAGGGAAGCTGGCCAGTCCTAAGGATAGCATTGTTAGTTGCAACCTGGTACTGGGGGGACAAAATCCCATTGTGTTATACAGGACTGTGCACCACAGACACACACACACACACAGATTACATCTCCGCTGTTCCTCTCTCCCTCTCTCAGGCTCATGTGGGTCCCAGTCACGGGTGCCTGTTGGCAGATTCTCTTCTCCAATCTTGGGGACGCCAGGAACCTGAAGGAACTGGACCTAAGCAGAAACTTCCTGACCTACTCTGCAGTGCAGAGTCTTTGTGAGGCCCTAAGACACCCTTGCTGCCACCTGGAGACCTTGAGGTGAGTCTGGCAAGAGTTCTGCTCTGAAGCTGGGATGGCAGGAGATCCAAGGCAGAGGCTGAGGCTGAGATGATGGATTGGTCTTTGCAGTCATTAAATATTCATTGAACTCCTCTGTGGCCATGCACTGACAGATGCCAGGGTTACTATGCAGAGTAAACAAACACAGGCAGGATTCCTTACTCACAGAGTTTGCAAAAGACTAGATTCATCAAGGAACCATACTAACATATATAAAGGCAGGCCCACATAAGGGCTTTTCTTGAGACTTAAAAGAGACTGGAAGAATACAAAGAATTACTAAGTGAAGAGTTGGGGGACATTCCAAACCAAGGGAGTAGCATATACAAAAGGGAGGACAAGATAGTCAAGAGATTCAAAGTAGGTAGTGTGACTGAAAGGCAGAAAGCAAGGGGAAGAGATCAACAGGAAACAGAGCATGCAAGGCCTTATAGGCCATGTTGGGATTTAATGTCTTTTCCTAATGCGAAGGGAGTTTAAGCAAAAAGTTGAGAAGATCAGTATGTTTTCAAAATAGAAAGAGGTTGTATCAAAAATTGATTGGAGGGACCAGCAGTTAGCGTAATGGCTATGTCACTGAACTTCCATATAGCCTACCACAGTTCGAGTCCCAGACCCAGTGGCTTAAACTCATGTCGGGCATGTGTGTGTGCATGCCCAAGATCCAGACAGGAGAATGGAGGAGAAGGGATTTTGGCGTGGTCATCCCCCCTGGGGAGTGATTTCTCACTTTCTGTCTCTCTGTCTCTGTCTTTAGCAAAAACTTCTCCAAAAAAATATGGATTGGAAAGGTGCAAAAGTAGAGCTTGAGAAACCAGTTAATAGAAAATTTGAAGTTCCTATAAAGATGGTGATGAAAAATTATAGCTGTTTCAGTGAGACACAGTAATAGCTTGGACTATAGCACTGGTAATGGGGATAGAAAGAAGGGATGGATTCAAGAAACCTATAAAAGTAAAATCAACTGGACTCAATAATAGATCAAATTTTGATTGAAAGAAACAGAAATATTGAGGATGATTTTAGGTTTCTAGCTAGAAATCTAAGACTGTGTCACCTTCACTGAGATGGGGAATACTGAAAGAAGAGTGAGTGAGGAATAATAGGGTGTCATGAGTACAATCTTGCACTTGCTGATATCAAGTTCCTTTGAGATATTCAAAAAATGTTAAGCATATATCAAATAAAGCTCTTTGCAAAGATAACATTGTCGCATAAAAGGAATTCAACAAATTTGAAGGGATTGAACATATAAAGTTAACCATGACTATATGAAATTTAAAATCAACAACAGCAGGAAATTTGGGAAATTCACTAATGCATGGAAATTAAACAACACACTCCTAAATAACTAATGGGTCAAAGAAGAACTCATAAAGGAAATAAAAAAATATTTTGAGATGAAGAAAACAAAAATATAGCATATTAAAATGTATCAGATGCAGCTAAAGCAGTGTTAGAGGTAAATTTATAGTTATAAATGCCTAAGCAGTCTAAAAACCAATTATTAGAACTAATAAACAAATTAAGCAAGAATTCAGGAAACAAGATCAATATACCAAAACCAAGTTTATATCTATACACTAACAATGAACAAGCCAAAAAATGAAATTAAAACAATTTTATTTGCAATAGCATCAGAAAGAATAAAATACTGAGAAACAAATTTAACAAAAGAAGGACCAGCCATTGCATGTCAGTTAAGGTGGCTACATCTCACATGACAGATTTTGCAGTTCAAATCCTGGGCCTGGAGGATTGAGAAACACACCAGACACATGTGCATGAATGACTAAAATTCCAAGAGGAGAATGAAGTAGAAGGGATTTCAGTGGCCAACCCCTCTGGGGAATGCTTTCTAACTCCTCACCTCGACTTTCTCAAGTAAGAGAACTCACTCGTCAGTCCATTATTTTTAATTTAACAAAAGGAAGAACAAGACTTGTACACAAAAACCTACAAAATATGAACTAAATTAAATAAGACCTAAATAAATGGAAAGACATCCTATGTTCATGGATTGGAAGATGGTGATCCCTCCCAATATAATCTACAGTTTCGATGCAATTCCTATAATATCCTATCTGCCTTTTTTGTAAAAATCCACAGGCTAATCTTAAAATTCAAATGCAAATAGAAGATAGTATGTCGAACATTGGAGAACATATTCCCCTCTTGTTATAATATTTAATGACCAGGCAATTAAGAGGCAACAAAGAAGCCCAAGAAGGGGTGCAAGTCTCTCACTCACTACTCATGAAAATACCTAATGCATTCTGGCAATACTCAGGGTTTTACCACATTCCCATCCACTGCTAGGTGAATGGAATTTATTGTCCAGGAAGGATGTGGACTGACATGAGGCAGCCATCAAGGAAGCAGGCACTCAGCTATGAGATATTGCAGGTGGCAAGCACAGAGCCATGTCTCTAGGGGATATCTGCCAGCTGGACCCCTGACCTTCTTGGGCCAACTCGAAAGTTTAGGTTTGGGAACAGAGAAGACGGATAGAAAATGTCCTGGAAGAAACAGCGAAAAAAGACCAACGACACTCTAAAATGCCACGTGTAATGATATGTCTTTGCTATAGCTGATCTTGGATTCCTGGCTGGGTGAGGAAGTCCAGAAGAAAGCCACAGGGAAAAAAAAAAAAAAAGCAGAGAGGGAAAAGCAGGTTTTGTGAAAGCAAGAAAACAGAGACGTTAGGGGTCAAAGGAGAAGGTTAGTGTCCAACCAAGAGAAGCAGAACCATGCCACACCTTCAACCTCTCCCTTCTCATTTATGGCCCCTCCCACAATCACATCCCATACCCTTTCTGCATGTGCCTGCCAAGCCTTCAACAGCAGATCTAGACCCAAACCCAACACCCTTTTCTGGAATGCCTCATTGGCTCTTCATTTTTCAGCATATTTGTTGTTTTTGTTGTTGGTAGAGACAGGGTCTTGCTATGTTGCCAAGTATAACCTTGAACTCTTGGGTTCAAATGATTTTCCAATCAGCTTCCAGAGTAACAGGAATTACAAGTGTGAACCACTGTGGCCAACTCAAACTTAACATCTTCTAAACTAGGCTTACATCCCTAATTAAAGAAAATCTGCTCCTCCTCTCAGGTTCAATTACATAATTTTCAGGACAAAATACAAGATGAAATTGCAGTGCCTATGTTCAAAAATCAGGGCAAAAGTGTTAAAATCCTGACCTGGGAGGCTGGCAGGTGGTGTGATGATTAAGGTGCTGGACTCCCACATGGCTGACTATGATTAAAGTCCCAGGCTTGGTGGCTTGCTTTCTCATTTTCTCTCTCTCTCTCTGTCTCTCTCTGATCAAATTAAAAAATAATAATGATAAGTTTTAAAAATTAGATAAAATAATTCTTTTTAAAAATGGGGGAGGAGGGCTGGCCCAATGACCTAATAGTTAAGGGAGCAAGATCCCACATGGCCGGCCATGTGGTTTGAGTCCCACATTCCCAGAGTCTTGAAAAGCACATTGGGCCTAAGTGCACATATGCCTAAAATCCCTACAAGACAGAAAAATAGAAGAGAAGGGATTTCAGTGTAACCATGACCTTTGTGAGATGCTTTCTCCCTCTCCCTCTCTGGCTCTCTCACTCTCTTTGTCTCTTTCTGGTGAGCACACATACCCTCTAGCAATTTTTTTAAAAAAAGGTGCCATTAAAGGTACAAAGAGGGACCAGCAGTTGGCATAATGGCTATGTTGCTGGACTCCCATGTAGTCGAGTGTGGTTCAAGTCCCAGACCTAGTGGCTTAAACTCACACAGGTACATGTGCATGCATGCCCAAGATCCCGAGAGGACACTGTAGGAGAAGGGATTGTGGTGTGGCCATCCCCCCCATGGGTGATTTCTTTCTATCTATCTCTGTCTTTCTGGCAAGTACATGCACCCTATAGCAAAAACCTCTCAAAAAAAAAAAAAAGGTACTAAGATAAAAAGCTATTTTTTTTCTTTTAATTTCCCTCTCAACATTTTATGGTGGATATTTTGTTTATTTAGTTTGGGTTTTGGGGGTTTGGTTGATTTTTTTTTCCTGTGGGGCACATGTGCTCACTTAAGAGAAAGTGAGAAAGCACCTACCAGGGGGAATAGCTATCCTTTAGTCCTTTCTCCTCTCAAAATTTTGGGCACACATGCATATGTGCCTAGCATAATTTTCAAGGTACTGGTTGGGGCTCAAACTGCTCAGTTGTCCATGTGGGATCCAGCCACTTTAATCTCCATACCACCAGCTGGCCTTTCATGGTGTCTTTTAATGCTATTCAATGTTTCATTCTCTCAAGTATCGAGACACTAATACGCATGGCCCACCAGATTATAAGTGCCCCTCCCCCTCTCACCGGTTCCCAGATACAAGCCTTGGGCCCCAGAATAGGTGGAAAAGTTCAGTCAGACATCTCCCTTTTCCATGGGCCTCCCACCCCAACCCTCAGCAGATGACAGACACCAATTCCCTTCTGCAGAGTATTGCTAGGATGTGCTACGTATCTTGATTAGCAACGTGAGAGAAACTGGCCTACACCAAAGTGCCAATGTGCCATGACCTTGCCAGCCCAACGTGGGACAGCTGCCACCATGTTCTACTCCAAGATGTCCCACCCTGACCCTCTCCATGCCTGTTCCAAGTCCCCACTGAGGACAGGGGATTACAGGAGTCACTGTGCTGAGGGAAAAGTTGAGTGGTGGCCCTATAAAACTAGGAGGTAGGGAAGCCAGTGGACAAGAACTCTGCCTGCAGAGGGAGGGAGGTGGCAGGAGATGAGATCACACACATTGTCCCTTCAGACTTCCTTACAAAACCGAATTCAAAGATAAAATTAAGAAAGTCAAGATGGTGGTCACAGAACATTAAATCCAAATCATTGGCCCTTCTGAGCACATAGCCCTGTGTGACTGCCTCCTCTAGTGTCTACTTCTTAGTAAGTGGCAGCAACTTCAACTGCTGAGACTCAGGAGGAAGCTCATCCACACCTGGCCTGAGAAAGTGACTTCAGGGCTCCAAACGCAACAATAGAATTCCGTAGAAGTCTGTACCAGTGTGCAGCACTTTTCAAGCCCAGATTTGAGTCACATTTGCCATTGTCCTATTGGCTAAAGTAGGTCACATGATTGCCAAGCCCAGATTCTAGGGGTAGAAAAATAGACTCCACTTCTTGATGGAATGACACTACCAAGGGACATGGATGCAATTAGTTGCCATTATCACAGTTTACCACTGAGGGTGGTGATAATAGTGCCAACTTGAGAGAACTGTGTGAGAATTAATGGGTAAAGTGCTTAAAGTGGTGTTTGCTATTACTCTCCTGTCCAGAAGCCTCCCCATTCTCATTTCCCCACAGCCACTGCTCTGAGCCAGGTATTCATTCTCCCACCTGAACCATCTACTTCCTGGCTTATTCAATAAGCTATCCCCCATTCATCGTCAAGGATCTTTTCAAAGCAATGCAAAGGTCATGTCACTACTGTCCTTCTAGAACGTTCACAGGCTCATCACTGCCACCTTATGATGACATTCAAGAACTACCACTGTATCTGTATTGTCTAGCTTTGACTTTGAACTTCATCTCCTCTCATGTAGCCTTCATGCCAACAACTCTAAACTAAACACACTCTATAATTGCACATCTGCCCTGCCTGCCAGGAGTGTCCCTGTCTCCACTCTCACCTTGGTGAATTACTCAAGTAAGGCATGCCTTCTCCTGACAACGTGGAGAAATGGAGGAAAAGTGCTTGCTGCATTACCACCCCATTGTAGGGTGCTTTCTCTCTCTTCTTCTCATTGTCTCTCTGTCTCTCTCTGGCCAGTGCACAAGCCCTCTGGCAATTAAAAAGAGAAGGAAAGAGAAAGAGAAAAAGAATGAGAAAGAGGAAAGAAAAGAGAAAGGGGGGGGAAGGAAGAAGGATCCTGTAGGCTTGCAAAGAACCTTGAATTTTTCTGAGTGAAGGAAAATATCAGATGAGTTTGGTCCAAAAGATCCAAAAACTGACTTAATATTACTTGTGTCTATGGCTATCCCCCTATACCCCAGGCATTTGGGGAACCTAGGGGAATTCTTACTGACTTCCACCTGGCCCGCAGGAGGTGTTCAGTGAGTGCTCATGGATGTTTGCTGAATCAACAGGTGAGTAAACCCAAGCCCATGGGTGTGTGTCTCCCACAGGTTGGCTGGCTGTGGCCTCACGGCTGAGTGCTGCAAAGACCTTGCCTTTGGGCTGAATACCAGCCAGACCCTGACTGAGCTGGAGGTGAGCTTCAACATGCTAACAGATGCCGGAGCCAAGCACCTTTGCCACGGATTGAGACAGCCGAGCTGCAAGCTACAGAGAATACAGTAATTGTTCCACTTCAGTAGACCCTGCTTTGTGGGGTGGGCATGGGGAGGTGGAGGGAGCTGCCTACCACTAGAGAAGACTGAAGGAGGGTTGCTACAGAGGCTCAGGAAGAAGCTCATCCACACCTGGCCTGTGGAGTGGTCTCAGCGCTCTAAATGCAGCAACAGAAGCCCGTCCCAGTGTGCAAGCACTTCTCAAACCCAGATTTCAGTCATCTCTGCTATTTTCCCATTGGTTAAAGCGGGTCTGAGGATGGCATAACCCAGATTCTAGGAGTAGAGAAATAGAGTCTAAATCTTGATTTAAGGAGACTATCAAGGAACGTGCATGCAAAGTGGGATTTAAGGGGAGAATGTGTGGCCATAGTCACAATTCACCACACAGAGTGGCAAAAATAGTACCAACTTGATAGAATTGTGTGAGGATTAGTGGGTAGAATGCTCACAGAAGTATTTGCTATTTTTCTCTTCCTCACACCAGCTGTGTCCTGCCTAGGAACAGGGCATCCCACTTGGCCTGGGGCTCAGTTATGAAGAGCTGAACTCACTGGTGTGGTCTGTACTGAATTCAGTCTTTTACTTCTCTCTTCACCAGAAAGGACAGAGCCATGCCTTCTAGCATATAGAAACAAGAGTGGCTTGTTCATCTCTCCCTGTTTGCCCTGGTCCCCCTCCCCTGGTACACAAAGTTGTACACGTGTACACATGGGCATGCGCACACACATCTCTGCTCGCCCCCTCAGAGCCCTGAGACATCCTTACTCTCTCCTCTAGCCCTACTGTGCACTTCCTCCCTTCTTCCCAAGGCCAAACCTCTCCCCTGCCCAGGACCATTTTGCTTCCCCATTCAGTAATCCTGAGCAAAGAAGGTGATGGGATAGAGAGACAAGAAGGGGAGCCACCTGGGACACACTTCTAATACCAGGGGCCAGTGATTCTGAAAGGAGAGGAACTTTGTTACACTTATAATGCTAAATCCTCTCTACAGCTATGATGACAAAAGTGAGTCTCAGAGAGGCTACATGATTTCCAAGGTCACCTATCGAGAAAGCAGGTAGCACCAGGATTAGAATCCGGGTCTGATGTCAAAGCCTGGTTTTCCAGTTTCCCAGCTGCTACTCTTAGCCAAGCACCTATAAGTGCTACGAGACATGCTGCCAGCTTGGTCTGCAGATGACATTCTGAGTGTGCTGCTGGGAGATGAGCAGTCCCGCTGTGAAAGCCAACGTGATAGAAGCAGAATGAGACTCCAAAGGCAGAGGATCCCCTGACTGGAAACCCTCAGAGAAAGCCTACACATGTACGAAAGCACATACACTGCCCTTTGCATAAATGATAGCACATCACAAACACAGCCCTGGACCTTGCTTCATTATTTAAAGTATATCCTGGAGATGGCCCCACAAAGTGGCTTCATCCTTTTATTGGCCGCATAGAACTCACTAAAAGGATTTGCCATCAATGTTTTAATTAGTGCATTTTGGGGGGCATCTGGATTATCTCAAGTTTTGGCCACTATAAATAGTGCTGCAGCTTACATCCTGATGCTAATCCCGAGACAATGTGCATCCTGAGACAGTGTATTATCTGTCACCTAAATTCCAAGAAGTAGAATTGCTTGGTAAAAAGTACGTGCATTGATGGAACCAGCAGTTGGTGTAATGGCTGTAAATTCTTAATCCTTCTTTTCGGCTTCAGCTTGCTGGCCCAGAGGCCGCAGGAAACTCACGCCAAGCGTGTGTGCATGCGTGCCCAAGATCCTGAGAGGAGAATGGAGGAGAAGGGATTGTGGAGTGGCCATCCTCCCAGGGGATGATTTCTTACTTTCTGTCTCTCTGTCTCTGTCTTTCCTGCAAGCACATGCACCCTATAAGTAAAAAACCTCTCAAAAAAAAAAAAAAGGTACGTGCATTGCTAATTTTCTCTCTGAAAATTAGCCAGACCCATAGCCTAGTGGTTAAAGGAGCTGGATCCCACATGACTGACTGCAGTTCAAGTGCCAACCCTGGCGGCCTGAAAAACACAGTAGCATATGTATGTGCATACCCAGGGTCCTGGCAGTAAGGAAATACGGAGGAAAGGGTACTGTGACATGATTATGTCAATTGGGGCTGGGGAGAGGTTCTTCCTCTCCCTCTTACTCTCTGTCTCTCTACCTCTCTCTGGTGAGTGCACATATTCTCTGGCAATTAAAAAGCAAGGAAAGTAAGTAAATTTTAAAAAGGTTGTACTAATCAAGGAGTACATTGCTTACCAAGATTAAATGGACACAATAAGCCTCCTCCCCAAGCATTCCAGTGTCAGGTGCTTTCACCAGTGCATAGCTACAGTCATGCATACAATGAGGAGCTCAGTGCAGAGAGAAGGGGAGACTTTTTCTAGAAAGAAAGCCTGCATCTCCATCCTTGCTCCTCTTGGATGAGCTATAACAGAATCTCCCCTGATTCTTGGCCCTTGAGCAGTGACGACTCCTCTTCCCTGGACATCATAAAACCCTGGCCCTCCTCCAGGCCCATAGTAAGCCAAGTAACCCTGACCTTGATCCCACGTGGCCTGCAGCTCATTAGGAGGAGTGATGTTATATACCCAGATAAGGCAAGGCAGGCTGAGAGCCCAGAACCACTCAGCACAACACATGGGGGTCAACCATGCCCCTGCCCTGGGACAGCATGTATTCCAGACCTTAATATGTCATGGGGAGCCCAGGTTCTCAACTCCAACTGAAGTTATTATACTCCTCCTCCACTTTTTTTCTTATATTAGGAACTCACTCATTTCTCTCTTGGTCTCTAATACTGAAACCAGCCAAGACATTCTAAGCTCCTTCTGTGGTTTGCAAGGCCAATGTGGTTAACGGTTAGATCCAGGTAAACTATTTGGAAAACTTGAGATGGTGTGTGGGCAGGATTCACATGAATCACCCATGAATCTCACTGGGAGTGAGAAAGGGAGGCTGCCTACATCCTGAAGATTTCCTTGACTGGAAGAGAAAAATCAAAATCTCCCTGGTCAATGTAAGCCAAGAAAGGCTTTATCTTCCTCTAATGTCATCCCAGCCACAACTACTAGAAAGACAGACCAGACCCAGTTACCCAGAGGAGCAAGCTCTCAGGACAATGACTGTAGCCTGTGTTCATCTCTCCTGCAGGCTGGTCAGCTGTGGCCTCACATCCAGTTGCTGCCAGAACCTAGCTACTGTGCTCAGCGCCAACCCCAGCCTGACTGAGATAGACCTGCTTCACAACTGCCTGGGTGACCTCGGTGTGGGGCTGCTCTGTGAGGGGCTGAAACATCCTGCCTGCCAACTCACACTCCTATGGTAAGGTCCTGGGGTCCCTTCTGGGCAGAGGATAAGGAATGGTAGGGTGGTGGTGGCAGGGGAGTGGACAAGGGAAGAAAAAAAGATGGATAAATGCATAATCAGCCCAGGTTCCTACCAATTCCACCCCTTTTTCATGCTGCGTGATTGGAGCTAGTGATTGTCTTCTCTGAGATTCAGCATCTTCATCTCTGTAATGAGAATATTGTACCCAAACCTCATGGATTGTAATGAAGTAAGTATGTACAACCAAGGGCAGTGCTGGGATGATCAAATGGTAACTATAGTGAAGCTGTATATTCTAAGGAGACTCCACTTCTCCACTCTGGGGCAGTGCTGTGTTCATTCGTTCATTCATTCATTAACACACTGTATGTCTCCATGGGCCAGGAACTGGGCTAGGCCATGGAAGAGACTACACTGAGCAGACAGACACTGGCTCTGTCCTTCTGAAGCTTACACTCTAGTGAGAAAGACATATTAACACACGAATATGTACTTAGGTGCTCTATTAAGTGTTGTGAAGGACAAGCACAGGGTATTATGTGAGTGTAATGTCAGGGGGTGAAATTAATGTCAGGGGAGGATGAAAGGCCAGGGAGGGTCTTTCTGAGAAAGTCAGAGAATCAGTCAGAGCCTCAGAGTGGCACCACTGGGTGCTGGAAGTGGCAAAGAGGCTCTTTCCTCTTTGCAGCCAAGAAGCACTTCAGGATGTAGGCAGCCTCCCTTTCTCACTCCTGTGTGATTCACATGTATCCTGCCCACTCACCATCTCAACCCTGTCCAAATAGTTTACCTGGATCTAACCATTAGCCACATTAGCCCTGCAAACATAGAGGCAGCTAACTTAGAATGTCTTGGTAGGTTTCGGTATCACAGACCAAAAGAGAAATGAGTGAGTTCCTAACATAAGAACAAAAGTGGAGGAGGAGTATAATGGCTTCAGTTGGAGCTGAGGACCTGGGCTCCCCATGTGCCGGAGGCCTGCTCCAGTCGGAGTGGGTTGAAGCTTGTACACAGGAAGGTGACACAGGCCAGCAGGAACAATTAGACTGGGACCTCAATACTCTTTAGCATGTTCTCAGCCGACTACAGCCAGAGCCAGCTTAAGACTGCAGCCCCAGTGGCTATCAAACGTACATATTTATTGAGGGATGTTTTATAGAAGTAGGAGGGGTGAGGAGGAAAGAAAAGATTTACTCTAAGAAACGGGGTATTCAAAGTACAGAAACAATGATCATAAAACAGGATGTCTGTCTTGTTTGATTAGGTATAATCAATTACAGAAGGAGGAGTCCATTTGTCTGGTGCATTTTCTTCTTAAATCTTGATTGCCAGACAGGGCCTTTTTGGATGAGAGGGTCTTGTAGCTCAGGAGACAACATAGGATGTTTTATTAGCAGTTTTCCACAGTTAACAGCACACAGGAGAAACTGTTTGTAGTTAGGGACTATCTGTTGCTTGCCTGAACTAGAAAAGAACTTTCAGCTAAGATAGTTAATCTTCCTCCTGAAGCCTTCAGGTGTGTTTATTCTGTCGTTGTTAGCCAGATCTGTCCTTCCTCTATTAACCTACGGGTTCCTGTATTTTATTTGCTGAATTCTTTGTCTGTTAATCAGTGAATTCTTGTGCTTTATCTTTGGGTCCCTGTCATGGCGGCAGATACACTAACTTGGCCTAACGTAAATTAACTTTGGCCTGCAGCTTTAACAAGGGGTATTTACGTAAAATTAGCCTTAAACTAACTTAGTCTACATACGCTACTAACACTAACTTGGCTTATACTAACTTAACCTAACAGGCTAATTTGGGCTTAAAACAGGCAGGTGGGGGAGTCTCAAGTCTCCTGATCCTAGGGCCTCTTAGGAAACCGCATTCCTACAGGATCACTAATTGGCTTTATTGTAAAGTTGCAGTAAGGTTGGGAGTGTTATTTTACCCTTGCAGGGTACCATAATAACAGTAAAGCTCACAGCAGATAAATTGAGTGCAGGCCAGTACAGCAACACAATGGAGAGTTAGGGCTCGTAAACTGCTGGCCTTGCTCACAGTTTCTTCCCAGCCCAGGCCTTGTTTAGGCATGAGAGGCAGCCTCTTTATCAGCTTGTGTTAGCTGCATGACCCCATCACCCATGACATACTAGGGTCAGGCTGTGACCTAAAGGATAAATAGGAGCTGGCCAGGACACATTGGGAGAGCAGTCCAGGCCAAAGAGAGTATGGGAAGGCCCTGGAGCTGAAGGGCCCTGTGAAGCAGGCATGGACTACCCCCAGACCTCATTCCCCATCCTGGAGGGTCTAAAGCTCATGTCCCTCATACAGTGTCCACCCCCACACTGTCTCTGGGTCACTTCTTCTTTTCTCCACCTCCCCAAATGCAAGCCCACAGGCTGTTTCTGGCCGAATGCTTTGCTACAGCTCCTGGCCAGGGCCACATACCATCAGAGAACTGACAGAGCCTCTTCCCCATATCCAGCACCCACTGGCCCCACTCTGAGGCTCTGACTGGTTCTCAAAGCAGGTCTGGGAAACTGGACCCTGGACTTTCTTCACCCAAGCCTGCCACTTTGATTCTCAAACTACAGGGCAGGATAATGGAATAACAGTTTACACTTGGGTCTTCCACAGCTGAAGAAATTGTCCTTTTATAATCAGGACAACTATGACCCAGGGTATAACAGCCCACTCTTCTCCAAGGATTTTTTTTTTGTATTTTTTTGTTTGTTTTAATTGCCAAAGGGTGTGTGTGCTCACCAGAAAGAGAAAAAACACCCTCAATGGGGCATGATCACACCATAGGCACTTCTCTTCCATTTCTCCATCATATCGGATATGAGGCATACATGAACATATGCCAATTTGTTCTTCAAGATATGTCACATGCCAGGATTCAAACCATAGTCTACCTTGTGAGATCCAGCTTCCAATATACAATGCTTAACCACTGTAATAATGAGCCAGACTAAGAGAATATTTAACTCTCAGTGTCTCTCACATGTTGGTGAGCACACCCAGAGCAGGGCTTCCACGTGCAAATCTACATTCAGGCCCCCACTCAACAGGACGTTGGTACCTCTAAGGGGTGTGGCTCACTGAAGTCCTACATCTGCCTCCTTCCCTCCTAAAACCCCTGGACTTAGCTGAGAAAGGCTACTTTCTACTTCTCTCCCTGGGGGAAGAACCGCTATGATAGCAGTTACAAGTGAGGAATATGTGACCCTTTACAGAGTGTGGGGGCATTTCATTTACTGCCTCATCTGTGCCCCACAGCAAGCAGAGCAGGGGTGGTTCAGCCCATGTTAGAGACTATGGATACAGAGGTCCAGAGAAGACAGTAACTACCCCAAATCCCATGGAAACTCCAAAACATAGTCAGTGAGAAAGGAATCAGCTCTCTTTCTAAAAAAAAAAAAAAAACTTGCAGCCTCTGGGAAGGAAATCCAGGCCCCATGCACTAGATGGCCATTTTGAGGCCATAGGGCAGGGGTATCCTATGGTGAGGCTATGAGAGTGGGCCTAGATTCTCATCCAGAATGAAGACATGGCTAAGAGCTACCTCACCCAAGGCCATGCCCAATCCTGGAGGAGCCTACAGCAAGTGACTGACCAATGTTGAGGGATAATGGTCCAAACCCAGGCTAGCCTGATTGCCTAGTGGTTGAGGAAGCTGGATTCCACATGGGGTTCAAATCCTGGCCTTGATAGCTTGCAAAAACATGTCAGGTGCCTGTGCATTTGTGCCCAAACTCCTAATATCATGGAGAAGGTATTGCAGCATGATTATATATATATATATATGTGTGTATATATATATATATATACACACACATATATATATACACACACACAATATACACACACACACACACGTGTGTGTGTGTGTGTGTGTGTGTGTGTGTGTGTGTGTCTGTCTAGGGCAGGGGATAATTTAAAAAATTCTCTTTAACTAGAGGCCCAGTCCCTCATCCCAACTCTGAACAACTCTAAAGGATCATCCCAGCCTCAGCACTCCCTGCAGAGTCACCTGGGGTGTCCATGGAGATGGAAAAACAGCCAGCTCCTCCCTCCGCCCAGCTCCCTCATTCTGGGTTGACTGAAGGACACTGTAATAACCTCCTCACTCTGTTCTGCATCTCAGAGTCTGATTCTCTGGGAATCCAGCCTGAGGCAGAGTCCTTCAGGAGGTGGCATATTCCAGGATTCTGGGCCCTAAGGACCCAGGGTTACATGGGGGATCCCAGGAGACTGGGCTTCCCTTGTGTTTGCAGGCTGGACCAGACCCATCTGAGTGACGAAGTGAAGGAGGCACTGAGGACACTGGAGAAAGAGAAGCCTCAGCTGCGCATCCCCAGCAGACGGTAAGGGGGTACCCAGAGCTCCCTGGTTGAGCCCCTGGGGCTAATCTACAGCCAGGATATAGGAAAAGATCCTTGAGGGCAGAGAGAGACAAACAGAGCCAGGAAGAAGCCAAGAAATCGCGGCAGCAGGACAGAGGTTGGTTGGTTTATTCATTGCAAATAGAATCATATCATTTCCCTGCTTAAACCCTCAATCAGATGACTAAGAAGGTGACAAATGAGAACATGAGTGTCTCTGGGAGTGTGCTACCCTGTGGGCACAGTACAGGTTCCTTCACTGCACAAGGTTCAGAGCAATGAGAGCAGTGACCACAAGAGGGAGACAAAGACAAAGGCACAGAAAAGGCCTTGGCAAAGAAACCACCCTGCTGTCACCAACACCCACACACATACACACATGTACACACACTCCTGCCTTGAGGGGTGAGCCCCAGAGGCAGGAGCATTCAACTTCCACCCATGGAATCCACTGCCGCCCCACATTTTCCTAGATGGTGCATTTTGGTCTGTGACTGAAGCACATCTGTCTCCCAGTCCAGGCTCACCTAAAATAAAATGGACTCAAAGGCTAAGGAGGGGTCATGATTGCAATGAACAAGCATTCCCTGCAGACCCACTGTGTGCCAGGCACTATTTTGGGATCTGAGAACACAAGTGAACAAGACGGGCAAGGCTCAAGCTCCAGGAGCTTAGTCCAGCACGGGTATCCCCCTAGCCTGTGTCACTGCACCTGGGTTGGCATGCAAGCACTGATGGGCCCATCTGAGCCTCTCTGAAGGAGCCAAGTTGAGCTCAGAAAGACAGGAGAGGTGAGCTGGGCTGAGAAGGAGAATTCCAGGCAGAGGTAGTGGTGCTGGGAGGTGAAAGGACTTAACTCCTGTAAGGAATAGAAAGCCAGGCTTCTGGAGCAGTGTTACTCAAAGCATCACCCTCACCTGGGAGTTGCATAGAAATTAAATTCTTGGGCCCCACTCCAGACCGTCCAGGAATCTCTGTGTGCACAAGCACTCCAGGTGATTTTTTACACCCACTGGGTTTGAGACCCACTGGTCTAGAGGTCAGTGAACAACCAGAAAGTGTCACAGGTAGGGGGACAGGAGAGAGGACAGGGGCCAACAGCAAAGCCTTTTGGACTATCTTAACTTTGTTTTCCTCCAGAAGCAATGGAGACATTATAGGGCTTCAGCAGCAAAGTGATGCATTGGATTCATATTTTAAGATCAGCTGCTATTAGAAAACAGCCCAGCCTCAGTGCAGTCCACAGCTCACTGAACTGCAGTGCTGGAGGCCATATGGCCAACTGCAGGTTCGGATCCCCACTAGGTCAACCTGAAACATGCCAGGAATACACACGTGTGCCCAAGATCCTGATGACCTGGAGGACTGATAAAAGAGGACTGGTGCCTCTCTTGCCTCTCTCCCTCTCTCTGTCCCCCTTTCCCTCTGCATGTATGCATGCATATTCTTTATTTTCAATAAAATGAAAGAGGGAGGGAGGGAGGGAGGGAGGGAGGAAGGAAGGAAGGAAGGAAGGAAGGAAGGAAGGAAGGAAGGAAGGAAAACAAAGAGAAAGAAAATGAGGGACCATCAGGTAGTGTGGTGGTTAAGGGGCTGGACTCCCACATGGTCGACGACAATTTGAATCCCGGATCTGGCTACTTGAAACTTACACTGGGCACATGTGCATGTGTGCCCAAAATCCTGAGAGAAGAATGAGGGAACAAGGATTGTGGTGTGGCCATACCCCACACTCTGGGGAGATGATTTCTTACTTTCTATCTCTCTGTCTCTGTCTCTCCAGCGAGTGCACATGCCCTATAGCAAAAATCTTTCAAAATTTAAAAAAAGGACGGGAACCAGCAGTTAGCGTAATGGCTATGTCGCTGGACTCCCACTTAGTCGACCGCGGTTCGTGTCCCGGACCCGGTGGCTTAAAACTCATGCCGGGCACGTGTGCGTGCGTGCCCAAGATCCCGAGAGGAGAATGGAGGAGAAGGGATTGCGGCGTGACCATCCCCCCTGGGGGGTGATTTCTAGCTTTCTGTCTCTATGTCTCTCTCTGTCTGTCGGGCGAGCGCACGCGCCCTACAGTGAAAACTCTCTCCAAAAAAGAAAAAAAGGAGAGAAAAAAGAAAGAAAATGGACTGGACAGGGAAACCTTCCAGAGGGTGTTATTATTACAAATGTCAGGACCTGGGCGAAGCTATGGAGAAAAAAAGACAAAGGAGAGTTCTTCAGGAGGTAGTGTCCACACAGTCAGTCAGTTCTCAGGGTAGACAAAGAGAGTCGGGATGAGCCCCAGTTTCCCCCTGGGCATTTGGGTGGATGGGGGCAGTCCATGGAGATGGGGTGGGGACGGAGGACTACAGGAGAATCGTGGGACTTAGCTCTCCTGTGGATACAGTGAATTTTAAGTGGGGAAGTCAGGCACATGGCCCTAGCTTCCTCGAATATCTTAGGAAGAATGAACGACTCTGTGTCTAGGCTGCCACGTGCGATGATCCCTACTGAGGGCCCAGATGGAGGAGAGAGCAGTCATAGCACGACCTCGCTGAAGCGGCCCAGAACAGACTCAGGTACTTTGAAGGGGGCACACTGGGAACACCATGGTGGGGTGTGGGAGGGGTCGTCCCCACCATCCCCCTGCCTCTGACATGGGACAGGGCAGGTTCCCCACTAGGAGAGCCCTGCCCCATGTGAGATCTTCCAGCCTAGAACCTGGTGGGATTTCTGCTTCCCTCCCCACCACCCACAGTGACTGCCACTGCCCCTCTGCAGAATCTCTATAGCATTTAGTTCCGCCCTGCCCTGAACTGAGGACCAGGGGTATTCTGGGCCTCTTATCCATCTTTTAAGCCATGTTCTCTCTCAAGTTGCCCACCTGGGGCATGCTGGCAAGAGCAATACTTTTGGACCAGTGGAGAAGAGGAGGAGGGCAGGGTCAGGAGGCAGTGGGCATGGGGGGTGTAGGCCTCCTCACATAACAGGCAGCCCCAGGAGCAGGAGTGGAGACCGCAGATGCACTCCCCGTCACTGCCCAGGCAAGCCAAGCCTTGAGAAAGGCCTTTCATGGTCCAGTTGTAGGACTAGAGAGACCAGGCAGAAGAATCTAGAACTGACACCACCCCGCCTGTTCCAGAGGGAAGTTCCCCACAAGCAGCACAGGAACCCTTCCGTCTGTCTTCACCTGCCTCTCCAAGGGACCTGCACATGGAGCCTCTCGGGACCGAAGAAGACTTCTGGGGCCCCACAGGGCCTGTGACTACTGAGGTAGTTGACAAAGAGCAGAGCCTGCACCGGTGAGTGAGGGGGCTCTGCTGTCCCAGACCTGCCTCCCCACCCCACCCCCAACACTGGAGCCCACAGTCAGTACCCCAACCACCTCCCATTGGGTTCCCTCCCTTTGCCAAGCCTCCAGGCAGGAACAGGGCTGAGGTACTGGGTGTGCACTTTTTATTACTGAAAAAGTCATTTTATTATGAAATTTTCCAAAACTAGAGACACAAGGAGCTTCCATGTCCCTCTTACCTAGCTTCAACAACTGTTTTGCCAAATTTCTTTCAGTTATTCTCTTTCTCCCATTTTTGTAGTTAAATCCAAGGCATCAGGTGATTTTTACCCTTAAATATTTCATTATCTATATAAACCAATAAAAGATAAAGACCTTTCTTCCATAACCCCAATGTCATTATCACGTCTAACAGAACTGACAATGTCTTTCATATTATCTAATACCCAATCTGCATTCAATTTGCTCAGTCATCTAAAATGTGTTCTTGTAGGTGGTTTTTCCTAATCAGGAGTCAAACAAGATCCACTCAGGCCAGCAAAGGTGTGATGCTTAAGGCAGCCAGAAAGTAACTGGCCAATCACATGGTTTCAGTCTCATACCTGATGGCTTGTAAAACATGCTGGGTATATGCATGCATGCCCAAAGTCCAGTAAGGAGGAAGAGATGGAACAGAAGGGATTGTAGAACGGGGTGTTTCTCACTTTCTTTCTTTATCTCTCTCTCTCTCTCTCTCTCTCTCTCTCTCTCTCTCTCTCTCCCTGTCTCATGTCTTGCCAATGAGCATACACACCCAAAGATTTTTTTAAAAAAAATTAAAGTCCACTCATAATGGTTTGCTATGTCTCTTTTTTTGCTTGTTTTTCTTTTCTTTTTGCTTTATGCTGGAGGGTGCATTTACATGTACATATGAGACAAAGAAAGAGAGAACACCACACACACACACACACACACACAGGACTGGTTATACTGTAATCCTCTTTCCTCTAACTCTCCATACAATCAGGATCCTGGGCACACATGCACATGCATGCACCAGCATGTTGTTCAAGATATCGGGTCAGGGATTCAAACCCTATTTAACTATGTGGGACCCAGTTTCTTCTGCACAATGCTTGACCCCTATGCTATAGGACTGGCCCTGTCATGTCTCTTAAAACACTTTCAATCTATATGCTTAAAATTTTTTTAAAGTTTTTGCATTTCTTTCTCATATAAGAGAGAGAGAGAAAGAGAGACAGAGAGATAGGCACCTACAAAAGGGTCTTCATGCTTCAATCCACCCCAAGTCTCAACTGACCCTGATCTCAGACATGCACATGTACACCCCTGGATGCCCAAGGAGGTCCTGGGATTACAACCCAGGACCTTTCCCTTGTGGATCAGTTGCATTACCATTGTGCCACTATTTGGCCTTGCTCCCATTTTGTTAATAGCCACTACATGTTAAGTACTATATTAGTGCCCTAAGGTGAATATGACAGGCCTGCCCTCCAAGAGTTTACAGTCATAAAAGTATCATTTTCTATAAGCATAATCATGATCTCTTATATAACATGTCGCACACGCCAAACTGTCACAGACATTATCTCAGGTGGGAGATAGCATTACTCTCAACTTACAGCCACAGAAACTGACTTCCCATGACCCTACAATTTACCATGGGACGGGCCTTGGAAGAATCACTTAAGATTTCTGTGAAGAGTTGCTTTCAGTTCCAAGTGTTTATCACTAATATCACCATGTAGATCGTTATTAATTACTACTGTATAGGCCCGTTAAAAATAAGAACACTTGCCTATTTCATCATCATAATAGAGACAGTTATCTGCTCCCCAGCGTGCACTAAACTGTCAACATGCATTAGATGACTTATTACTCACAACCTTAGAAGGTGGGTGTTATTATTATTCCTGTTTACAGATGAGGAAAGAAACTGAGATTAGGGAGGGGACATGCTCAGGGATCCATAGTCACAGAGCAGACTAAAACCCAAGTCCATCTGACTCTCAAGTCTGGGTTTATAGCTATTCCACTGTATTCACAAGGCCCTGTACAGGGTCCACCATCCACTAGGTGCTCAGTGAGTTTGTGTAATACAGTGTCCACTTCTCCCTTTATTCCCCAGAGTTCATTTCCCCATGGCTGGTTTCTACCATTGGCCTAACACGGGTCTCCGCTTCATGGTGAGAAGGGCAGTGACCATTGAGATTGCATTCTGTGCCTGGAACCAGTTCCTGGAGACTGTCCCACAACACAGCTGGATGGTTGCAGGGCCTCTGTTTGATATCAAGGCTGAGCCTGGAGCCGTGGCAGCTGTGTACCTCCCTCACTTTGTGGCCCTCCAAGGTAAATGCAAGGGAGGGTAGGAGGGAAGGTGGTTGGTGGTGGTAATTAATGGGCCCCAAAAAGAGTATAGGATGAGGGTATCCTGGGGGAGGCACTCATGGCTTCTTTAGGGAAACCAAGAGAGAGTTAGGAAACTAGAAGCTGAGATTTTCTCCCATCCCACTATCTCTGCTCATAGCTTTTTTGAAACATTTGTTTCCCAGCCTCATAATAGTCTTTTCCTAGGCTTACTTGAGAGTTTCCCTAAATAGAAAGTAATAGAAATATTACTGTTGGGGTACTTGTCTCTCTATCTTTGTCTCAATAATAACTAGCCTTTATTAAATGTGCTTTACATAGATTATATCACTCAGGAAATGATGATATGCTCAATTGAGACTTTTCTTCTTTTTATAATAGTGTATACACATGCATGAGAGAAAGAGAAACACTATCAACAGGGTCTTATCACACAGCAATCACTTTCCCCCAGTCCCTCAACTCTTCAGAATCCTGGGCACTTATATGCACACCCAGTATATTTTCAAGCCAACCCAGGAATCCAAACCTGCATTAGTCATATGGCTTCCAGCCTTTCAGGGCACTTGTATTGCTGCTCTAGGACAGCAGCTGGGCCTCAGTTGAGATTTTTTTAAGACTTTTTGAAAACAGAACATTACAAGTAAGGTTAAGTAAACAAACAGAAATTTTGGGGTACCTGGGGACTGGCAACAATGGGAAGCCATTACTATTTCTACATGCAAGGAGAAGAAATAGTGTCACCAGGCAGGTTCCATTTGAAAGCTGGAGCCAAGGAAGAAGGGCTTCCCAAAAGAAGATAATAATCATTAAGTCTCCCAGTCTTTCCCACCTCCAAAGACTACCCACAGATAAAGTTCAAAGAAATAAATGCTCTCGTTTCTCAAAAATCTCACAGAAAGTAAACAAGGTACCATAAATGATAGGCAGCAGAAACTATAGGGACCAGAATCACTCCCTTAAATACTTCAGATATTGGGGTTATTGAAATAGAATATAAAATAAAATGTGTGTATAAGATATTTTTAAAAACAATTAGTCTTGGGACCAGCAGTTAGCATAATGGCTATGTCACTGAACTCCCGTGTAGCCGACCATGGTTTGAGTCCCAGATCCAGTGTCTTAAACTCACGCCAGACGCGTGTGCGTGCGTGCCCAAGATCCCAAGAGGAGAAGGGATTGCAGTGTGGCCATCCCCCCTGGGGCGGTGATTTCTCATTTTCTATCTCCCTGTCTCTCTCTGTCTTTCTGGCGAGCACACGTGCCCTATAGCAAAATCCTCTTTAAAAAAAAGAAAAGCAAGAAATAAAAACAGATAGTCTTTAAATTTGAGCAAGAAGCAAGAGACCAGGACTGGGAGTTGCACAACAGCAATACAATTCTCTGTGAGGCTGATCCACATGGGAAGTTTCCAGTTTCATATCCAGAGACCTCCCTAAACATGCTAGGCATGCATATGCTCATGATCTGGGGCTGGCTAAGACTGAGAATGGATCGTAGCATGGAGACCCTGTTGGGGGTACTTGTCTCTCTTTGTCTCTCTCTCTTTCTCTCTCCCTCTCATGGAAGAAATAAACTTTTAAAAAGAAAAAAAAAAGAAGCAAGAAACCACTAAAAATGACATAATTTGGAAAAAAGCTTGATTAATGAAAATATCAAAACATGATGGTATCATGATGGGACAGGCACTCATAATTTCCTTACAGAGGCTGGCAGAGAGTGATGAATTGGAGACTGAAATATTAAATTATTTCACCCATTTCAAACTTCTCTGGACTTACCTTTTTTTTTTTTTTTTTTTGGAGAGATTTTCACTGTAGGGCGCGTGCGCTCGCCAGACAGACAGAGAGAGACATAGAGACAGAAAGCGAGAAATCACCCCCCAGGGGGGATGGTCACGCCGCAATCCCTTCTCCTCCATTCTCCTCTCGGGATCTCGGGCATGCATGCACACACGCCCGGCGTGAGTTTTAAGCCACCGGGTCCAGGACGCGAACTGCAGTCGACTACATTGGAGTCCAGCGACATAGCCATTACGCTAACTGCTGATCCCCAACTTGTTAGAAGAAGAAACAGAAAAAACCATAATAGCTCTTTTCTGGCTGGAACCATGGAGGGCATTCAAGAAAAAGGAGGTTCCTGCTGCAGCAAAAACCAAGAAAAAGGTTCCTGCTGTGCCAGAAACCCTAAAAAAAAAAAAAAAAAAAAGGGGGAGAGAATAATCTTGCAGAGTTGAAGATCAAGCCCCTGAGAAAGAAGTTTGCTCAAAAGATGCTTCAAAAGGCAAGGAGGAAGCTTAGCTATGATAAAGCTAAGTGCTGTCTAAAGGAATATAGGCAGATGTACAGAACTGAGATTCGCATGGCCAGGATGGCAAGAAAAGCTGGCAACTTCTATGTACCTGCAGAACCCAAACTGGCATTTGTCATCAGGATCAGAGGTATCAATGGAGTGAGCCCAAAGGTTCAAAAGGTGTTGCAGCTCCTTTGTCTTTGTCAGATCTTCAATGGCACCTTTGTTAAGCTTAACAAGGCCTCAATTAACATGCTGAGAATTATGGGGGTCTCAAACCTGAAGTCAGTAAATAAACTAGTCTACAAGCATGGTTATGGCAAAATCAATAAAAAGTCAATTGCTTTGAGAGATAACTCTTTGATTGCTTGATCTTTTGGTAAATTTGGCATCATCTGCATCTGATTCATGAAATCTATACTCTTGGAAAATGCTTCAAAGAAGTAAATAACTTCCTGTGGCCCTTCAAATTATCTTCTCCATGAGGTGGAATTTAAAAAAAGACCATCCATTTTTTAGAAGATGGAGAGGCTGACAACAGGGAAGACCGAATCAACAAATTTGTTAGAAGATGAACTAAGGTATCCACCATGATTATTTTTCTAATTTGGTCAGTAAATAAACAGTGGCTATTTTTAGACTAGGATAAAAAGAAAAAACCTAGGTAATACCTATGTAATGGTATACAAGAGGACTTCAAAAATTTGTGGAGGAGACCAGCAGATAGTGTAATGGTGACACCACTGGACTCCCACATAGTCAACTGCAGTTTGAGTCCCAGACCTGGTGGTTTAAAACTCACACTAAACGTGTGTATGCATGCCCAAGATTGCAGCATGGCTATCCCTCCCTGAGAAATGATTTCGCACTTTCTATGCCTCTGTCTCTCTCTGTCTTTCTGGAAAGCCCTATACAAAAATATCTCTTAAAAAAATATGAAACAATGGAATTAAAGTATGAGCTTATTTTGTGCAAAAATGATTTTAAGGGACCAGCAGATGGCAAAGTAATTACGTGGCTGGACTTCTACATGACCAACCTGGCGGTTTGAGTCCCGGACCCAGTGGCTTGAAAATAACACTGGGTGTTTGTGTTTGTGCCCAAGATCCTGGGAGGAGAATGGAGGAGAAGGGACTGTGGAGTGATTTCTCATTTTCCATCTCACTGTCTCTCTCTCTCTCTCTCTCTCTCTCTCTCCCTCTCTCCAGCAAGGATACATGACCTAAGGCAAAACTCTCTTTAAAAATATTTTAAATCCCAGTGTAATATGCATTTTTCTATAATTGGGGACCCCTGATATTTGGCCTGCTATCCATAATAGCAGGTGGCCTTTGCTATACTAAGTGTCTCACAGACACATCTAACACAGCTGTGTCACTGGCAAGCTCTTCTGTGTGGAGTGAAACTCAAGTCTGTTATCTTTTAACTACTCTACATAGACAGCTACCTGGTACTCACCTTTACCTGATGTGGGTCCCATTGTCCCTCCTTGAACATGAAGTTTCTCTGCCCCTCAACAGCTCACCTGAGCTTGGAAGGTGCTGAAAACACACCTTGCAACAAGAGCAAGATGGCCAGATCAGACCACTGCCTCAAGGGCAGGGTCTAAAAGGGAGCCCCCAGCCTCCTGCATGGTGGGAGCAGCAGAGGCTGAGGCAAACATTGGGCATGCCATGGAAAAATAGGAGGGAGCCTCAGACTGCCCCATACCAAGCACTTAGGATTCTTAGGGCATGGTTCTCACGTTTGACTTTTCCTGTAGTCAGTGAACTCTGGAATTGCAGTTCCCATGTTGTCCGTGTTCTAAGGTACATCACAGGGCCTGGCCCACTGTAAGTACTTAATAAACTTTCATTCAATAAACTGATATGAGGCCTAGGACTACCAGACTCTGCTGCACAGGGATATGTCTACCTCAATATATCTTGTTCTGAATATTTCTCTCTTTTTTATTTATTTTTATTTTTTAGAGAGAGAGATTTTTGCTACAGTGAGCATGCGCTAGCTGGAGAGACAGAGAGAAAGTGAGAAATCATCCCCCGGGGGATAGTCACACCACAATCCTTCTCTTCCATTATCCTCTTGAGATTTTGTTTTGAGTGTGAGTTTCAAGCCACCAGGTCTGGACTTGAACCATAATCATGTGGGAGTCCAGCACCTTAACCACTGCACCATGTGCTGGCCCCAGATTGTTCTGAATATTTCTAAAGAGATTACCCAAAGGCAGGACCAAGCAGAAGGGCCTGGTCTTCCTACAGTGATACTCATGGAAGTCACCACCTACACTTCTGCCTTTTCAGATTATGATTTTCTCTGTTGTTTCCCTTCTCCCTCCAATCTGTCAGCATAAATACACTGTCAGATGGCTGACTGGAGAAGGTGATTCTGCTGTCATCTGTGGAAAGGACAACATGTGTAAGAAGGAGGGTGACTAATTCATCCTGGATGGCCCAAGATTTTCCTGATCCTGCACCTCACAAGCCCTCTTAGTCCTGGGCAAGACAGGACAGTTGGTCACCCTAGTGAAAAGATAAGTTGGAGCCATATAGCAACTTCCAGAATTCAGTCAAAATTTGGCCCAGAAAATATGTAAATGCCACAGACTGTGATCAGAGTGCTGGGATCTGGTGCTAGGACTGTGGCTGTGTGGCCTTGGGAAAACCATTTCCTTCCCAGGGTTTCAGTTCCACCATCTGATACATGAGAACATTCCAGTGGAGGTCCAATTGAGAACAAACACTTAGTGTGACTGACAGCAGTACAAAGTAGCACCCCCTTTTGGAAAAGCAATTGTGGGTGGGGAAAGTACATATCTTTTCACAGACTTTACTTGTCCCTTGCTGCTTATTGATTCCAAGGCAACAACCCAAGAGAAATGTAAGAGATCTCTGCAAAAACATGGACATTGCAGTACCATTTATCATGGTGAAACAGGGTGCCTGTATCCCTATCTTGCTCTCTCTCTCTCTCTCTCTCTTGCACATGTGTGTGCATGCACTCTCTCATGAAAGAAATAAATAATATGAGTTGAGGGGTAGAGAAACCCAGACATTCAGAACAGAACACTGTTTTCCCTGAGGAAGTTTCCTTGAGCCTCAACCCCAAGAACCTACAACAAAGTCAAGACTGACTAAGTGAAGGCACTAATCTATGCCTCTCAAAACAAAACCATTTTTTGACAGGTAAGGAGATGAACACCTCCCTGTTCCAAGTGGCCCACTTTAAAGAGGAGGGGATGCTCCTGGAAAAACCATCCAGAGTGGAGCCATATTACACAGTCCTGGAAAACCCCAGCTTCTCCCCCATGGGAGTTCTACTGAGAATGATCCACATTGCCCTGCCCTTTATTCCCATCACCTCCACCGTGTTGGTCTACTATCGCCTCAACGCTGAGGAAGTCATCTTCCACCTCTATCTGATCCCTACTGACTGCTCCATTCAGAAGGTAAGAGCCAGAAAGGCTGGGCCAGGGTGGGCTTATAGTAAACATGAAATGTAGCTAGAGAGTCCTTTAGAGGAGTCCTCAACTGGGAATAAGGGCAGGCTTCTTGTAAGCAGGCACCTTAAAGTGGGTGAATGGTCCCACCCCCTGCTTGGCCAGGCACTGGCCTCTTGACTCCCCAGAGTTTTCCTCAGCAGAGTTCATTGCTCCATTACTGATTCTGGCCACATGTTGCAGCCTCTTTCCTGGAGTCAAAAGGATGGGAAGGTTCTATGCCCAAAACTCCATTCTTCCCTCTTCTCTTCCAGTGGCCCTCTTCCCACCCTGAACTTAGCAGAGGCCAAGTGTGGAGCTTTCTGCATAGTCGTGCATGGAGGAAGATGGGTACATGAGTGGTGTAGCCACCCTCTGCCCACACAAACACACTGACACACCATCTCAAGTATGCAGACCAGATCCCATAAGGCAGAAACTTCCCTCAGTCATTGTTCTTTATGTTCCTTAGGCCATAGATGATGAAGAAAAGAAGTTCCAGTTTGTGCAAATCCGCAAGCCACCCCCGCTGACCCCACTTTACATGGGCTCCCGTTTTACTCTATCTAGTTCAAGACAGCTGGAAATCATCCCAGAGGTGAGCAGCCCAGATGTTCACCCCCTCACCAGGTTCCAAGGGCAAACCATAAATGCCTGCAGGGCAGGTCTCGGAGCCTTCCCAGAAGCAGGGAGAATTGGAGTTTGGCAGAAAGCAAATGGGATTTGAAGTTAAGCAAGAATGCCTCAGGGGCCAGATGGTGGAACTTATGAGTCCAGTAACACAACTGGACTCATATGGGAAGGTTCCTAATATCCTGGGACTTCCCTCTGTTTGCCGTGGGAACATGCTCTTGTACCCAAGATCCAAGCTGGCTGAGGCTGCAGTGTGGATTGTGGTATGAAGACCCTGTTGGGGGTGGCTGTTTCTGTTTTTCGTGGAGGAAATAAACTTAAGAAAAATGTAGGGTACCAGCTGGTTGTGTGGTAACTAGATTTCAAATGGCCTACTATGCAGCTCAAGTCCCAGACCCTGTGGCTTGAAAAACACATCAACTACATGTGTGTCTATGCCAAAAAAAAAAAAAGAAGAAACGAAAAAGGGAGAAGTAATTGCAGCCTAACTGTAACCCATGGGGTGGGACATGTATTCTCACTTTCTCTTTTTCTCTCTCTCTGTCTCTCTCTTATCTTTACCCTATTGACACACCCTCTAGAAAAAGTAAGAACATGGTAACACATGACCTGGTTTACTTTCATAAAGATGCCTCTGGCTTCTGGGTAAGATGGACAACATGCAGGCAAGAGTCAAAAGAGAAAGACAGGTCAAAAGGCTGTTGCACTACTACAGGCTAGAAGTGAAAGTGACTTGACCAGGGAGGTAGCAGTGTTGACAGAGAAAAACTGACAGGTTCAGAGTCGATTTTAAAGGCATAACAAATAGAACTTGATGAGATGGCTGTGTGGGAAGGAGCTAAGGATAATGCCTTAACTTGGAACCCAGAGGTTCAACAGGTAATAATTTACCCAGTTTGGGAAAACTGGAAGAGGAACATGTTTAGGAAACAGGAATCAAGAGTTCTGTCTTAGATGTGATTTAGGAAAGCAGATGGATATAAATTTTCTTTTATTAAAAGTGGGTCAGTTTTAGAAAGAAAGGCTTTCGGCTACAGAAATGAGGGCTCATCTGGGTCCAAGGTGATGGAGGCAGAGGAAGAAGGAACTGGTTCAAGATGGCAGAGAAAGATCTGGTTTAGGGTGAATCAGCACTACTTTTAAGGATGAGCCCTGATTCATCCATTTGGCCACCCAGCTGTGTCCTCACTCTTTTGAGTCAGAAAATTGGGAAAGGGGCAGTGTCTCAAGGTATCTCCTGTAGTACAGGAGATAATCCAAGTGTTTTCATGGGGTTGAGCAAGACCAGGAAGATGTCAAGTGGGGAAGGAGCTCATGTGCAGAATAGCCTGGTTTCTCACGTGGCAAATCTTCTCTCTTTAGGAACTAGAGTTCTGCTATCGGAGCCCTGGAGAATCCCAGCTCTTCTCTGAGTTCTATGTTGACCAGCTGGGATCAGGGATCAGGCTGAAAATGAGAGACAAAAAAGACGGGACTATGGTTTGGAAGGGCTTGGTGAAACCAGGTAAAACCAAGACAAGTCCAGAGAGCCCAGAGGTGGGAGAAAGTCAGTGTGTGTGTGTGTGTGTGTGTGTGTGTGTGTGT